GAATCATCTTGTCATTAGTCGCTATGGAATGATTAAAATAAACAAGGATAAATAAAAGTTTAAAGAAAACATTTAATTTGCATTTACAAAATAATATATAAATTTATCTCATCTTGGTGTAAAAAATAATTTATTGTACAAAGTTCACCTACGCCTATGACCAACGCCGAAATTGAGCGGAAGTAAACATTTTTTTACAATATGTATAAAATTAAATTTTATAGAATACCGTAAAGCACGTGGATAAAACAATTGCTTTTTTGGAAATAAACCATAAATCGCAGAGCGCCGGGATATAGCACCAACAGGCTGTAATTACCCACGATTTTCCCTCGGCAATATTTCCTTCGGTTACTACTAAAATATCGACGAGATAAGGCGGCGAGTTACGTGCGCCTCTGTTATTTTCCGCCCCTTCAACTCATTTGAATTAATTCTGTTCAACGTTAGTGAGAGGAAGAAAAAAGGGAAAAAATGATTAAGTGGGGCGCGGAGGTGCTGGCCGATAAATTTTTTGGAAATATGAAGTGGAAAATTTCGCACCTGCTACCGAACGCAACAAAACACGAAGGGGTGGCAGCCGTGTCGCTGGGAATATTCGATTTTTACAAGATATAAAAAGGCCGCCGTGAATTCGCCATGCTTTATTTCACGTACATGTTGTTATACTAAGAATTCACTGAAATTCCACTGAAAATACTTCACTATAGTGTTTTTGAAACTAAGAACGGTAAAAGAAAAATAGAAGAGTTGTTTAGTTTCATTTAGATTTTTGATTTTTTTATTTTCCAGATATAAGAAGTGATTCGTTCATCTGGGGTAAATTCCAGTTTTTATGTTTTTTTTTAATACATACCCTATATATTATTTATTTCATTTCATTGCCAGAGAACTTCTAGATACTTTATATTTGAAGTATTATTTCTTATATCTAAGTCTAACCATTTTCGACAAATCTTGAATTTTATGTCAAAAATGACGTTTGTGGGCCGAATAATATTTCAAAAAAATTTCTATAAGAGAAACACCCTATTTTTACAATTTTATCCGATTTGGCAATAATTTTTTTTTGCAATTGCAATATTGCTATAATAAAACTGTTAAGTTTTGTTATTAGTTGTCTATGATAGTGAAACTATAAAAACAGGAACGGAATTCAATTTCTAAATCGAAATGTTGCTTTAGGAAATGCAGTTAGAAAATTAGAACTAATATAAACACCTTGTACCACTGAAGATCATGTCATGTGGAACACTTACTTTAAGTTTTGGAATTTTATTTATCTAATTTGAAATGTATTGGTTACACATGTTATGTAAAAATTTATATTCCTGCATGTGTCAAAGGATCCTTAATGATAATCCTCTTCAGAGAACTCTAACTCTGGCTAACTATGTTATTACAAAACTTAACAGCCGTATTGTAGCCGTATATTAATTGTCAATTATTTCTGAAATACAAATTTCCGAAATAGACAACCTTACACCAAGTCTCCTCAATTGTTCATATCAAAATCGAACAAAATTTCTTACTTTTATTATAATTTAATTTTTGCAATTCATTTCTGCTCACCCTATATTAATTTACATCCCACGCCACTCAATATATGACAAAGCCTTCATCTATGGCTCCCTTATAGGAAAAATTTTAAATTATTATATGGATTTGTAGAAAACGGTTAAATATATATAGAAATTTAGGGAAAATAAAAAATGCAATAAAATACAGCGTGTTCTATTGCAAATAAGAAAGCTGGTATTTAATCTAGATGAACGGAACAACATATATGACGTAGTGAAAGTTAAAAAATCTAGATGAAACTATACGACTTTTCTATTTAATTTTCTTTCCCTATAGTTCTTAGTTTAGAGTTAAGGGAACCTTATTTCAGATAACGCCAGCTTGGTGTTATAGAAATGCTTCCTCCTATCCTCCTCCTTAATACCTCCAAATTCTCTGTAGCATTTTCTCTAAAAAAGTAGAATATTCATTTTGACTATCAAGTTTGACGTTTGATGGAAAATTGTCTTTTGTGTCTCATGTTTGCGAAATTGGGAGGAAAAGTTGCCAAATGGTTAGGTCGTTAAGGCTGATGTTTATTCTGAAACCTTGGTTTGGTTATTCTAAAGTTCGGAAAATGCATTCCCGCAAAAAAACTTTTATTTCAATACTTTTGCAAAGGCTTTTCTAAAAGTTAAATATAATATTTGTATTATATGTAACTGAAAACGAAAATTTTCCCAAACGACAGCTGACAGTATGTTGAGCACTTCACTAACGCCATAGTTCTTTTAACCCCTGTTTTTCTATAGCAAAAAACTTTTCGCTCATATATTAGCTCAAAATTGGAAGACATGTTGCGAGAACAGACATTGCGATAGAATCGCAGATCGTTATCTATTCCGTATGAACGTTTGGAAGAAAGTACGTAAAGAGTGATTGACGCGCGGTATTAGTAATAACCAAGGCAACAGTGCCGAGCCCAATTCTGTCTGTTTTGTGTGCGAATGTGTGTGCGAGTATATGAAACCGATCTATCGCATGTAGTCGGAATAAGTTGCAGTTTACCGAGTGTCATGAACCAATCATAGCCGTTGCCCGCATGCAAAGTGCATTTTTGTGTAACCTAGTTCTAAAAAACCGTTCCGTTGAGTTCGCTATGATATAGCGGAATTAAATTTCCGACGGGTACTTATATTTAGAACACGAGCTTCCATTTTTTCCATTCTATTAAAATAGCGAACAATAATGGACCTAAATACTTTCTTCAATTACGCCTCGCCATTGATGACGTTTATCATTATCCAGAGTATTTATTATTACCCGTAAACTTTTCTCATTGTGGAAAAAAGCTAAGCCCTATTTCTAAGATGACTTCACCATCTGAAATCTCACATTTTCGCCACACTAGCCTACTGTGTACAATGTCTAAAATATTGGAGAGGATGATTATATATGACCAACTTGTTTGATTTTGTTGGATTATAGCAAGGCGGTCGATACCTTATGAAATAAATTCTTGTTTAAAGTGTGTCGTTTTAAGCGATCTGATCAGTGATGTCTCTTTCTCAAATCAATATTCTAAGAATTTTACTTTTCTCGATTGATAAGATTTACTTTCAGTCTCTTCAGTATGCAAATATACTTTTTATTATTGATCAATGATGTACCTTTGTCTCTCGAGGGCATACATGAGGATCTTAAAGTTATTGTGAAAATCTCCAAGACGCACGCTGTTCTCCTTGGCAATGAAATGATCGATTTCAAACGTTCCTTAAATGGTACTCACTCCCAGTCTTTCTTGATAGTAGGTTTCTTTTCTATTTCCACTTCTCCTAATTACTAGAGAAGTTCTAAGGTAAAGTGAAAGCATAAAAAATATTAATCTACTGGTTGGGAACGCAAAGGCAAATACAAACCCCTATACAGTTTGCGAAAATTGCAAAATGCTTCCCTGACGTACAGCTATGGATTGTGTAAATTTTATACTAAAAATCCGGTAGTCAATGATCGGGGAACTGGGGGAACGGGGTAACCCAGCACCAGAACAAGTTCTATATTCCCAAACATAGTACTGCCGCCCTTCCACATAGAAACTATCAATTCCACCCGGATATTATTTCTTGTCCATCAATTTCTATATTCAAAAAGAAAATTAAAGAGTTGGTGAGATAAAAGAGAGGATAAACGGCTTCCTTTTTTTTCTTAACATCGTTATAAATTTTTTATTTGAGCGATTTTAAAATCGTGCTACCTTGATTATGAATTTAGGTTGATTTAAGGGCTGCTTTTATATTTGTTAATTTTTTATTTTCTTTTGTTTATTCTGAATATTGTGGGATGTACTACGTTATACCGGTGGTGTGATGCAACGCGTTACTATTAGCCTGATGATATTTATCATTATTATTATAATCTGCCGTTTTCAATTCAAGGTAGCCTTGGGAAAATATTACAGGTTAATTTATACGAAAACATGCATTTACTCAACAGAATAAAAAATCAATTTAAATTTTTCAACGAAACTTCCACAGGCTACTGTAATACTTTTTATAAAACTTCTGGATTCCTCCTGCGTCGGTTTTCGTTGACTCGAACTAGCTAACGTTTCGCCAATCATCCTGTTGGCGTCTTCAGAAGTTGACTGAAACTCGCACTTTATTCTACTATACTGTACTATACCTGCTTGTATATTGTTTGAGGGCGGCGGATCTAAATGAGGGGCATAAAAACCGTATCCGATGACTGATTCCTATATTGGTGACAGGTAAAGACTTGAGTCGATGTTAAGGTTGTTTGGTTGTTAATAGAGAGATAGATAGAATAGACGAAGAATATTACGATTTTTTATAATGTAATAAAAAGTGTATTTGATCAACTTTTGTTTTTCCAACTAGTTAAGTTTAGACGGAATTGTTTACCTGTCACTCCGCTGTATAAACTCGTTAATAGACCAGCCAAGATCAAAATCTAGCTGGTCCAGGTGGACTCTACTGTACCCCATATAAATGTATTTTTTTTCACACTGACGTACACCTCCGTTGAGTCTACCGTGGACGCCTAGGCTACACCACCTTAGGGACTAGGGCTTTAGACTACATCTACTGCAGAGAATCCCTCATTCACGCAGTGCTGACTTTTTTTATAATTTTAACGGCAAGACCAATATCATGGTAAGATCACCAACTTATCAAATGTGTGTAAACTTTAACCGTATTCATTTTAGATGAACAACTTTCGTTTCTGGACAAGTAGTAGATGTAACTAGTGCGCTGACATATATTGTTTTGTTTTATTTTAAGTATTTTCTGTAACTGAGGTGTATTATTTATAATCTTAGAAAAAAATTTTTTCCATCTTGGTGGGACGCCTTAAGCACATAATTTTCAGTGTTGGTGAATGGATAATAATAGGCAAAACCCACAAGACTATGAAAAAAAATAAGCTCAATCTTATATGCTTATTTTGGTTCAATTTTTCCGAATGTACTTCTTACTCACCTAATTTTTTGGTAGATCTCCTTCTGAGAGTAGACGGCGCTCTGATAATGGTAGGCTTTACCACGTAGGTGATGCTCTTCTTGTGCGACAATCCGATCGACTTCTTCCGCCTGACCGGTCTGCGTTTAGGGACCGGCGACACGCCCGGAGGAACGTAAGGACTCGCACACACGTCGCTACCTTCGTCGCTCACGTCCGACGCAGCCGGCGACTCTTCGGAAAACTCCTTGAGACTCAATCTGGACAATCTGCCGCTCAACGGTTGGTCGTCGGAAAAGTACTCGTAGTCCCCCGGCAAGCTCTCGTACAGTCCCTCGTCGGCGCTGTCGTTACTCCTCGCGCAATACATCGAAGAATCCAGCGGATTGAAAATCCTGATCTCCTGCACGGCTCGACGAAACGACGGTTTCCTGGACACCGTCGCTTTTCGTTTTTCCGGAGGAACGAATATCATCGGGTCGAGTTTGAGCGCGGCCAGCGATCTGGACGATCTGTTGACAACCACTTGGTACAGGTCGCTCTTGGCGGTCCCGTCCGTATCTCTTTTGTTCTTCTTGGATTTGGTTTTCTTTTTGCGGCTGCTCCTACGTCCGATCGAATTTCGTTTCGCGTCGGTAGTTGGTGTGCCGCTGGTTGTCCTTTTGAAGTAACCGTCTCGGCTTACGGATAGTTTGGGTTTCGGTCGCGATTTCTTCCTGAAGAACCCCCGCGACGAGGAGGGCGCAAAGTTCGCGTGGAAATCGCTAATGGAAAACGAAAATCCCGAATCTTTGCTCGAAAATAATCCGGTAGACGTGGTATTGTTGCTGGTCGAAGACAACGTCCTACCGACCGGAGGGGTCGGTCGTTTTTGAAGTCGATTCGACACCAACGGGTCGTCGCGCAAGTCCCTCAACGCGCTATCTAAAGAGTTATGAGCGGGAGGAGGAGCGGTAGTCGACGCCGATGCCTTGGGCATCTCCAAACTTCTAGGCGCCATCGCTTGGGGAGCGTCCATCCAAATTCTGCCCAGGCTAATGGACAGGGAGCACATTTCCTCCGAGTCGGTAGGTATCAACGCCGCGGGTCTTCTTCTGATCAGCGGAGATTTTTTCACTTCGGTGGAATCGCCCCAGGGAAACATCTCCACGGCAGAGTCGTTGCTCTCCTTACGTTGCAGGTTGCTGTTGAGATGGGTGGTAGTCGTGTGTTTCCTAAATACCGGCGACGACGACAGCTGACGGATGACCGGGGCCGCGGGACGCTCGTCGGAAGCAGGCACGTAGATTATAGTACGTTCGGAGCCCTTTATGTACGACGGAGCCGACGCGTCCTCCTTCCTGATGCCTTTCAGCCAGTGATCGTAAGCGACCACGCTGCTTCCCGCGTTCCCCGTTTTCGACTTTACTATATTGCACGTGACCTCCCTGCCTGACTGTATCGTCGCGTTAAAATCACATTTGTTCACTTGGACCGAGCTGTCGACCTTCTTAACCGCCACCTCTTCGGGGATCCGAGCCAGTTCCTCCTCAGAAACCGTCTGGGTCGCCGCCTCCAGCTTGGTGACGTGTTTCTTTTTGCCCCTGTCCAGATAACTTTTGCGTATGGAGATTCTCTTAAAAGAGTCGCTACGTTTAAACGACGACTCCTTTTCTTTCTTTTTCCGGCCTCCGCCGACGAGACGACGAAGATTCTCGAACGTGATCGGTTTCATAGCGACGGTCGAGGTGGAGGAACTTAAGTTTCGGGATGCACCAGAGGTGCTAAGGTCGGTCTGTAAAGGAGGGCCAGCATGGTGGCCGTTATGTTCGCAAAATCCAAGGTCACCGATTGCAACCGGAATTGATCTCGCCGAGTCGCTGGATGACGAAAATCATCTTGTTCGCACCTAAGAATATAAAATACATGGTCGATATATCGAGCGACGGGTAGGTGTCGCTTTGGTCGCATTAGTTTTTTTCGTTCAAGGCACCGAAGTGTCGAATACAGCATAGGCTGTTGGAAATCAAAAACGGAAAGACGAACCGCATCATAAATTTTAACTAATAAACCCCAATTTCAGGTTTTGGTACCGATCTATACAGGATGTTTCGAAATTAGTGGGTCAAACTACAGCAGCATCACAAAATTTGATCTAATAATCCCTAATTTCCGGTGTTGGTACCGAAATATACAGGTTGTCTCGAAATTAGCGGGTCAAACTACAACAGCATCATAAATTTGAACTAATAAAGCTCAATTTCAGGTGTTCGTACCGAACTATACAGGGTGTCTCGAAATTAATGGATCTAACTATAACCACATATTCTACGTCCAAAATTAACCTTACGTTTCTACATAAAGATATGTGGAGAAACGCCCCCCTTACGGAGCAATATACCCTGAAAGGAATGGACTTGAACGGTTTTTTATTAATATTTCCGAAACAGGTTAAGGGAACATTTTGTAATTTTGGCATGCTAAATCTGATTCTAAAATAATAAGTGCGAAATTTTTGGCAGGGCGTAACTTTTACAGGATACAGGTCATAAAAATTGCAAAAACTTTTTTGTATGTTGACTAAACCATTTTCTTATAATATCGGAAAAGGTGTGTTCTGTTGCAGGAAACTTATAGTTGCAATGCAGACTATTTTTATGAAAAATCAAATAACATTAATCAGGTATTGAAAAGATAATAATGAAAAATAATTAATTTACTCTGGAAGAGATTGTTCCTTTAACTATTTTAGGCTGCTTGTGTGACATATTACCCCACAGATAATGACCGAGGCATCCAATTTACGGTGCCCCATCGACCTATCCACTTGTTTGCAACACTTTCATCTAATCAGTTTCTTATACTCCGCCCAAAGTGAGCTGTACTACATCATGCGCAAATAACGACTCCAAGGGAGTACGTGTAAGAAAGTTTATCGAACAATTCCTACCAACCTACAGTAGGTTTAAATCAGGCGATCGAGCTGGCTGGGACACCTCGACTTATCCATTTGTTTGCAAAATTTTCATTTAACCAGTTTCTCTCTGTGGTATATATGGCAATAATAATTCGACCATATCATTTGTTATCAATTTAAGTAAAAATTAGCATTTAATCTATTTGCCAAAAGGACATAACACAGTTCATATGATACCAATTCAAATATTGATAGAAAATCTATAAAAAGATTCATTTTGACTTGATGGGAGCAATAAACAATACTTAACAATAATCATTTTGGTTACTCGGTTAGGTCGGTATTTGACTTATTTGTTTATAAAAAGTTTAACGTATATTTTATGATTTTTTTAAATAAATACTTAAAAGATGAAAAGGTACGAGGAGCAATAAACAATATTTAACGATAATAATGTTCATACGATTTTGATATTTGGTTGCTTTTCAGAGTTTTCGTAGAGGAAGAGAGAGCAAGAAAAGGACAAAGGTGAATAATTGTCCCTAATGTCGCTCCTCCTTCTGGACGTGGGTGTTCCACGCGATGTCCGAAACTTTTTGCTTGACCTTTCCTCGGGAAAGCTCGGCGAACCGCAATGAGTCGAAAATTGACTCCAAACTTTTATTTTCAACTGAGCGTTCGGGTTGAACGCAGTCGCCGCCTGTCTGGAACGCTCGACCGATCTCTTCGAGTGGAAAATTACCGACTGCGTACATGCGGTGAATAGCAGCAGCTGGTTCTCTCTTTTTAATCTACGTACGGTCGCAGCTTTGGCAGATTAAAACTATACAACCTTAAGCCCGGTAGACACGTTGCAATGTCTGCATGTATTTTTCCATATATTACGAGTTATTATTTTTTGCACACATCGACGCAAAGCGTTTGATTTTCGTAAACTTTTAGGTTTATGTTCTGTTCGTTAATGCGTTGGAATAGGCGAAGTTTGTTCTTGAAAAAGGTTAGTGATTCTGAACTTGTTGGAAAAATAATGAATATCATTCATTGGCTTACTTTAAATAAGAAGCAATATCAGGTATAATAAAAAAGAAGTTTTTTACGAAATTTGCTCAAAAGACAATAACACCACTTTAAAAATCAGGGACGATTGTGAGGATTGTGAAAAATGGAGTAATATGTCATTGAAATAAAAAATTGTGAGAAGCCGATAAAATGCTAGAAAACGTTGAAATATACAAATAGAATGTTTTGTAAGTAGTAAATATTTTTTTTAATAATAATTTTTAATACATTTTTTTATATTATTCTCACTTCTATATAAGATTTTATTTACTCAACTATCTGCCCAGCACATTAAATTACATTATTATATTTATTATGCTAATAAACTACTTGTACTACTTTCATTCATTAAACCCGCCTTTCTATTGCAGGCAAATTAATTCAGGAACAAGGTGGGTAGATTTTAAAAACTGAAGTACGAAATTTATGGGAAACTATGATTGCAATTTATCTAAATTTTAGGATATAACCTTTAAGTTGTCCACCCTGTTGAACGACCCCTGTCGTTGCGAATTTACAATTCATTACTCTCTAGCCTTAAGAAACGACATCTAGTATAAAAACTTTTATAAGGGAAAATATTTAGTTATACTTTGTCAAAGCTATAAGATACTAAATGTCGGCTAGGAAAAAGAAGAATAAATGTTCAAGAAGTAACTGCAGAAGTTTGGGATAATCGAGTCCGTTGTGGTATTTGGCTCATGGTTTAGAAAAAGATATACAAGCAAGTGAATTTAAATGCCAAATCGATTTTAAAAATAGTATATCTTGTGTCTCAGTAAGGAAGGTATGGTATCATTCTTAATTGTTATGATGCGGTTAAAGTGGAAATGCTTCTCGTATTATTGATTATAATATACTGCTAACCAAATTGCTTCAAAATTGAATTACTTGTGTTTTCGTTGGTTTAGTTTTAATTTCAGTTTAAGGCATATTCTATTTATATGCGCATATGGACACTAAAATAATTGTATTACTAACCTTTTTAATATGATTATGTTTTTTTTTTTAATTTTGGCAACTGTGTTATAGGTACAAATAAAAATTTTGGGTGATATGTATTACCACAATTTTACTATACCTTTCACATTCTTATCCCCTGCCGACCTCCACGCGAGACTCCGAGGCAGTCAGGACTGGGTAAAACTTTAGTTGTTTAATATTACGGTGCTTTCAAATTGTGCTTTATTATTACTAGTTTAAAAGGTTATAATAAAGAAATAGGGTTTTCCCGTTAAGACTATCTGATTGGGGCCGCCCTGTACTCGCGAAGGAGACAATAGAGTCGTAAAAAAGCGACGAGATTATGGCGTGTTTATTACAAATGAAAACAAATTGTTGCCTCGCGTATATACATTATTATTATAAATACGTATCTATACAGACGACGCTTAGTTTCCGCAATAAATAATGCGAAATTGCATTAAATTATCCTTGTGATACATTTACCTATTACAGACACGACACCGGGTATAACGGGGACAGAAATATCGTTTCGTAAAACGGGGCAACCAGCTCGGTTAAAATAATTCTCTCGCGACTACGGAATTGTTCAATTTTAAAAATTGGCTTGCATAATATTCGCCGACCAAAACAAACAAAACTAGGCTGGGATTTTGTTGTCAAAGCCATGCCTTAAACATAGCAATACAGAATCGTCGAATAATCGTCAGTTCTGACAAAAGCCCGGTAACTTCTATTTAAATAAAATATTCCTACTAGATAGTTTAATTTGTTCCACTCGGTAAGATAAGGCGGGGGGGTATCTCCATTTCATATTTTTGATTTTAGCTGCTTGACGATATATTTTATATGAAAGTGCATATTTGTTTCACCTGCCACAAGTACGTAGAATGTCGGACCGCACCCCGAAGTCCATCCATCCATAGACCCATGAGCCTATCCTCATTTATGCTGGAGATCTTAGAAAGGCTAGTGGATAGGTACCTGAGAGACAGCACATTACAGATATTCCCGCCAAGTTAGCGTCAATACGTTTACCAACAAGAGAAATCAACAGATCTAGCTCTGGATGACCTAAACAGGCTGCTCTCCAAGGCAATAGAAGACAAGGAGATAGCTGGGGCCATGTTTTTAAACATCAAGAAGGTGTTCAATCAAGCGTCAGTAAATTCTATTAAGAGAGGGCTAGAAAGGAGGAGCTATGTGAAGGCAGGGTTGCTATGGTTGACGACCTACTGCAAAAATTGTCTGTAGAGGGCTTCTATTCCTTGGGATATGCAGAGAACTTAGTCATTGTAGTATGAGGGAAATTTGCCAGCACTCTGTCGGACAGAAGCCAACGGTCAAGAACTAACAGTTAACCCGAAGAAAACCGCCAGTAGTAGATGAAATAAGGGAGCAAAGTATTTACGAGTCACATTCAAAACACTGGGTCCTAAACCGAAAAATGTCACTTTGGTTGTACTTAACGCAGTAAGACCAATGATAGCGTACGGAGCAGTTGGAAAAATAACGAAAGGGCCGACGAAGTAACCCATGAAACCCGTTACAAAATCAGTCATCACACAATTGATGGGAAGAAAATCCTAGACAAAGACAGACTCAGATGCCCATCGGCCAAATTTACAGAAGACCTGCTAAGCCGCAAAAGAAAGGCTGTAGGTCTATTGACGGGCTACTGTTGACTTAAGAGATAACCTAATGGGATTGGAAGAAAACAATGAATGCATATTCTGCCAAGAAGAGGAAGAATTAGCCGTACACATATTATTTCAGAGTGCATTTCCATCTGCTGAGCGTAACCAAACCAGAATCGAAGTTATGGAGTTTGGCCAGAGAGACGGAGCTGGATAAAGCTCTATAGCTTTATAGATCCTTTGAAACAATCTGGAATCTGAATCTGCATATTTTTTTCAAAGACATAATTATTTCATTAAAATGAACTGCGGTAATGTTTTCATACAACGCAA